TAAATATAGATATTACAACTAAATAATTGTATCATACATTTATGAAGAAAATAATTCACTATTAATAGCGGCCTGTAAAATTTCAGAATTTTCACTCTTGAGAGATTGCCGTGAAGGTCATGAAAAAGCTCACTATATATATACCTAAAATGGCTAAAAGCTAAAATACGTTCCTTTATAAGTGGCACAGTCACATTTTTTAATTCTTTATCCTGTTGTTTCCATCAGAATCTTTGAGACACCAAAATTTTCATTTTTATATAGAAGCAGGATAAAATATCGTAAACCATTTTTTATTGATGATTCATTTTGACTATTATATTTACGGGTGACTATGTATATGATATTTTGCTATAACACTTTTGTTTCTATTTATTACACTTTTGATGAATTATGGTGCACTGGATAACAAGAGAATAATAACAATCTTTTAATTTATATTGTGATGGACATCCATATAATTATATTATTATAGGTTTAATGTATAATCGCRCTGTGAATTTCAATATCATCCTTTAACGCCAATAACACATTCAATAATATTGCTCTCATTATCCGTCTACGAAGTCATTTTGAATTTATGTTCATAAATTCCAAAATAATTATGGTCASTGCTCACCTTACTGATAACTGATAATTTCTAAACTTCGACTTTTTTGTTATTAGTGTTACTTAGTAATACATATCGTCATATAAAATTTGCGGACAATAATCAACAAATTAATTATTTCTAGAACTAAAAAATAAATTAAGTTACCTATAGGTATAATCGCAATAAGAAAAACGTATTATACTGCCTAACCAAGACATACCTAATGTTCCGATTATGAAGACATTATTTCGTGAAGTGAAAACATTATGGAAACTAATAGAAAAGTAATAACAGCAGTTAATTATTATAGAAAGAACATATTAAAGAAATATTTCCAGATTTGGAAAAAATATTCTGATCATAAGCAATACTTAACAGGCAAATCAAAACAAATACCATCCTATAGTTATTTGGATTCAAAGGTACATAGTTCTTCATTAATAATCATAAAGATCATAGATGCAATTGGTATCTATTATACATTTAAACTATATCATGTTCAAAAACGAATATTCAATTTTAAATGATAAATATTAATATTACAATCGAGGGTAACGTTTTTCTTTTAAGCGGAGTATACAAATTGATGGTAAAATATTAGATTTGAAGAAAAATGAAAACGTCCAAAAGAAAAAAGAAAAAGTTGTATTCCCAACAATAATTAATACAAACAAACATATTATAGACAATGAAGTAAAAGAGAAAACGATAAGACTCAGGTAACATTTAAAAAATACGCTTTATATTATATTATTATTATATTTGAGTTTTTGGTGTATAAAAATACCAACTAATGTTATATTTGTCATAGAAGTACCTACTAATTGTATACCAAAACTATTTGCATATATCTGATTAAAACAAGTGATGTTGTACCTATACTTTGTTCTATATAATAGATTAGAATTTAGAAGAAATTATATTGCATGATTATTTAGTRATCTATAGCATAGAGTATTACCTATGATCTATATATTCTATACTTCTATAGTATATAATATATGATAGGATGTAATTGGAAAAGTATATTATATCATATATTTTATATGCTTTAGAGTTTAGACATATCACTTCTGTTCCAAATTTAAGCTAATACATTAAAAATTACTTATATTTTTTCATATATAGTACTGATTTTTCGTGATTAATAATTTTTTAATGAGATTTTATTTAAGATTCTGAGCGGA